AGGCACAGACTCTTTGTATCATGGTTCCCAAAACAATAAAACATCTACTGCCACATCATTTATTTTATATCATGTATTACATATATGTAGAGATAGCTTTAAATTTACAAGAGCATGCATGCCATCTATTTTCAAACACTATGACAATGCAATTAAGCATCCACAAATTTGAGTTTCTTGAGAAAGAATGGAGCCAATCACCACAGATCAGAGTGTGATATTATATGAAGATTACAAAGTAGTTATGAATGCAAACCTGGGAATCACACTGTTTGTGTTACCATTTTGATGTTTTCTATTTTCTCCTCAGAGAATTTGGGCTTTCTTTTTAGTCTGTTTTACCATCTGTTTCCTCCTGTACCAAAAATGGTGTTGTTGCTTTTGAGATTAACTGAGATGATACGTACAATACGAAACATACTGGTCTCTGTACTACAAAAGAAACAAATATTTTTATATCCTTTCCTTTTTTTATTTTTTGTAAGATTAATTTGCCACTGATTTCTATTTCCTGACGTATTCTATCTGTTACTCCCTTAACATTTTCTATGAAATCCATTCATAAATATGAATTATGTATGCTGAATTGAAAATTTTCAACATCAAATTAAGAGAAAATTTCATTATTCACTTCTAACTAGTGGAGAGGTTTTAATGTGATGTCATATTTTCTTTATTTTACCTATGATTGAATTAGAGTGCAGTTTAATTTCAAAACCTATCAGCAATTATTATCATTACTAACATTATTTCATTAGTTTTGGTAATAACAGAAATAATCTGTGTAATAGCAATTATTTGACCATTATTGAGAATTTTTTTTGGCTCTTTAGTAGTCTCTTTATGCAAATGTTAGTGCTTCAATGGTTGTGAATTCTCTCTTGGCAAAGCAATCTGTACTAATTAGATTAAGCTTTTTAATTATGTCATCCACATTCTTGTATGCTTTGTATTTATTAATTATGCTTAATATATCAATTTGTGAAATATTTTAAATTTTACTGTGTATGATTAAATATTTTGTCCATCTTTAAAAAATTGATATTTCTTTTGCTTTTGTTTTTTAATTTTTAAAGATAATGAAAACACATTAACAAACAAACAGACACAAACAAAACAACACCCAAACAATAGAAGCAATACAGAATTTCAGACAAGGTGATAGGAAATTAACAATGGTTGTTGTATTACATATTGTTATCTTCAAATTAGTTACTCAGTTAAACAAATATAGGCATGTAAGATTGATCAAACAATTAAATACTGACTATTCCTTTTGATAAAGCAATGGAAGTCTTGCTACTACATTTTTAAAGCCTTCATGGATCTAATTATGGTGGTTTGTTTATTATTCTTTCTTTTTATATTTGAAATATCTCTGCTTATGTATTGATACATTTCAGTTTGATTCAAGTGTGTCATCTAATATTAACATTGCTCCACCTGCTCATGTTCAATTGGTAGGTTAGCTCAGCTTCAAGCTGCAAAACTAAATAAATGGGCAAAATCTTAGTAATTTAATCACATGAAACTGTATGTGCTGCTTCTCTAACAGAAGTACCCAAAGCCCAGGAGTTTGGAAGCATGGTATATATGATAACATTAGGGTTTTGTCACTCATCAAGAAGAGAAGAGTGAATATTGGAAAGTACTTAGTAGTCCTTTTACAATTTTCAACCTTACATCTTCATTCTTTCATTTTTCAATTTATTTCATTTAGGTTTGACCATTTTATGCAGTATACAAATGCAAATTAAGAATCTAAGACATTTATAAATGGACAAAATACCTGATTCTTTTATATAGGATTCAGTGCTATCTTGGTTCTTGAACTTATTTTGTGATTCTCTAAAAGTTGACCATGTTCGTGTTCATGTGGGAAAGAAAGATGGCCATGGTCGTGTTCTTCCCATGATGCAGAGTTTGGAAACAAAAACAGAATTTTGTCAAATGCTTCTATTCACCAACTAAATTGCAAACAAAAGCATTTATGAAATGAGGTACCACTGTGTAAGTTAAGTTTACAAACACGAACATACAAAAATTATGTGCTAACCTAAAATTTGAATGTTTTTATGTCAATGCCTGACATAATTCATTTAGAGATTTGTGAGAATTTTGGACTCATTTGAATGTTCCATTTATGATTATAAATACTTTTTCTTCTCTATCTCTCCTGGTCTACTTTGTTTGGACTGATGGAATTGCTACTATTACTTTTTTTAGAGGTCTTTATCAAGCAATTTTCTTTCTATGTTTTACACAAAACACTTACCTTTCAAACAATCTCAGATATAATCCCTATCTTCTTTAATTCCAAATTAAGGCCTTATGAATATGGTTTCTAGTTGTGTCCATTTTCCTATAAAAGCCTCAAAATTATCTTTCTTTATAGCTGAGCAATATTCCATTATGTAAAAATACCACAACTTTTTTATCCATTCCTCAGTTGATGGGCATTTGTGTTGCCATACTCATAAGTTAAATAAATCAGACTTGCATGTGTAAACACCATATTGTCTCACTAGTGTAAAAGCATGAAAGAGTGAATAAAATGTAGGAGGTACAATAGACATTGTGAAAGGAAAGGAAACTGCTCAAAAGGAAAGAAAAACTGGGACAAGAAAAAAGAGAAAAGAAAGAAGAGGAAAAACATGTATATATGTATACACAGGATAGCCAACATAGTTGTGCTACTGACTTTTATTGCTGTATTGAAAGGAACAATTAATGTTTAAGTGTTTGATCAATCTTACATGTCTATATTTGCTTCTCTGAGTATACAATTTCAAGATATCCATATGTAATACGACAACCATTGTTAATTTCCTATCACCTTGCCTGAAATTCTGTATTGCTTCTATTGTTTTTGTGTTACTTTCTAAATGTATATGTGTTTGTTAATACGTTTTTGTTCTTTCACCTTTAAAATAAAAAAAAAATTAAGGCCCTAAACTGTTTTAAAATCCTTTCTGCTAGTCAAGTTTTCCAATATATGTTGTATGTATTTTCCTTGCTTAATTTGCTTTATTAAAGAATAACTTATGTCAAATAAGTTGAACTACTAAGAAGGTGTAGATCGCTTTATGCAGAATCTTAAATTGTTTATTTTAAATAACAAAATATCAACTGGTTTCCTCTGCGCATGCACTGCTGTTTTTCTACATTATTTCAGCATCACTTGCTCACAATTGCTTTCTCTCTCACCCTCTATGTCCCCCTCTCCTCCCGCACCCCACCCCTTTTCTTTCTCCCTGTCACCAACCTCATCTCCATATTAGTGTGCCCAGCTTCCAAAAAAAAAATCCCACAACCTGAGCTCTAAGACAAAGGAAACTTATTACCTTAGAGTTCTGGAGATTTTAGATCCAAGATCAAGTGACTGCAGGGTTAAACTCAGGGTGGCCTCCCTGCTGGCATGTAGGAAGCCACGTTCTCATAGGACCTGTCTTTTGGACACTTGCATGCCTTCCTCTCTATGTACAAATTCTGCTTCTCATAAAGGGAAGAACCAGTTAGTAAACCAGTTTTATCATATTGATTCCTCCTCTAATCCTCATTTAACCTTCACCTTGATGACATTCATGAAGGTCCCTTCTCCAAACATAGGCACTCTAAGGATTAGAGCTTTAACATGTGGAGTTTGGAAAACAAACCACTCAGTTCTTCTAATGTAGACTCATTAGTAACATTTTCCACTCAGGAGGCACATATAGGGTGCATTTTTAAATGATCATTTCAATCCCTAGGATACAATTTTGCCAGGAATGCAGGATTACATTGTTTCATACTTTAAAATATGAATCAGTTAAACTATGACATATGCTTTTTATAAGGCCTCTTATATTGTTCAAATTGCAAATAACAATGAATTTAATACTTTGCACATACTTGTTTACTGTGATTTTATTTACAATTACCAAACATTGCAAACCACATAAATATTCTTTCTTCAGTGAATGGAAAGCAAACTATGATCCATCCATCCATGAAATATTACTCAGCTACATCAGGGATGACTCGCAGCAACATGAAGCCGAGTGAACATCTACATCCTCTGTAATCTTTGACATGTAGCTTGCTGGAGAAGGCAGATCAGGAGGGAGGGAGAAGCATTTATACGCATTGGAGTTAGAATTAGGTGTTGGCTTGAAAGGGGAAAAATACTGGGATTTGTTTGGAGACTGATATGCTCTTGTCTTTAGGATGGTCATGGGTACATGAATTTATACCTGTGTTAAAAGTTGTAGAAATGCACAAAATATGATATTTTAACATAGGCTGAAGTAAAACACTCCTCGAAGGCAGAGAAAAACAAGTAGAGGCGATTATCTGTAAGATAATGTAAAAAAGCTATTTATCTCAAAGCTAAAGTCAATGCTATTCTTGGTAAAACATTAGAATTATCACACTGGGATTTACATTAAGAGTTATGAATGTAAAATCTGTCATTTTCAGCAGTCTTATTTCATTCTTTTATTTTTTTCTGGTACTAGGAATTGAACTCGTGACCTCCAGCTTGCCAGGCAGGTGCTGAGCTATATCCCCGGCCCTTCATTCATTATTTCTAATCCAAAATGTTGGGCACAATTTCTACGTGTAAAATTTAATCTGCATAAAAGTATAAAGTTTTATTTTAGAACTGTGTTGTATAAACATCTACCATACATATTATAGCTTTATCATTTTATAATCTCTAAAATGTTGGTTACTGATACAAAAGTGATAAAACAGTTTGCTTACATTTGAATACTCTATATTGATACTCTTCTGTGTATAACGTTTCATATATATATATATATATATATAAATGTATATGTGTGTGTGTGTAAATATACCACAAAGACGGTAGTATGCTCTGTTAGTGTTGATTCCAAACGTACACTTGTAAAATTCACAGGGTCCTATACAACAAAAAAATTGAGAAAGTAAAAATTCATAAAGCAAGAATTTCATCATACCTGAGAAGCGCTAAAATATGCAAGATATTCACAGATGTGTTAAGAATCCCTTGGTTCTGTGTCTTTGAACCTGCATTTTAGCCATCTCCATACCGAAACAGAGGCCTGTTTCAACTTACTGCTTCCCAGAATCAGGACACATGAATGCCCCGAAGGAAAAGCAATTGCAGTAGCCTGATCCCAAAAAATGATCAGGTCTTCATCAAGCAGTTCAAAGCTCAAAGCCTGCACAAAAACAGAGAATAAAAAAATAGCATATAGTACTAGAAAGGCAACTCCAGTTTGCAAGGCTTTTATGTGGGCTGTGGTGCTGACATCTCTGGACCCTCTGAAATTGTGCTGCATCCTTTTTAGATGTTTCCACAGGGAGAAGATGAGCAGGAGGAATGTCATCAGGGACACTGTAAAGGGTATAAGTGTGAACATGGAGTTGATGAAAATATAATGTTTGTAAACCTGTGTAAAGTTTCTCCAATTTGAAGTGGAAGATATATTTCTTATAGATCCATCATTCCAGACATCAGCATATATGTTTAAAACTATAATATTTAACAACAAAGAGAATAGAGAGACCAGAAGTGTACACAACACTACCTTTGTAAGTCTCCATTTTAGATAAAGAAAAATGGAGTGAGAAAAATTAGCTATTTTGAGAAAATAAAAGATGCTGAGGATTGTAGACATCCAAATGTTAAAATGATTGATTATTGTCCAGATAATATTACTTATTCTAACAGCTTTTATGGTTAGCAACAAATCTGGGAACTGTGTAGATATCAACAGAAGTATCAGTAATACACAAAGCAGAGCAATTCTGCAGGTTGCCAAAGCAGTGAGAACTTGATCAAATAAAGAGATTTTTCTTGTCCTGACCCAGACCAAGAAGTTCACCAGTGATATAAATCCATTTCCAATATATCCAATAACAATTTCCATGTACACAATGATTGTAAATGTGGTCAGCATAGCACCACTCATTGTCTGTAAGAGAATACACTGCTTTTCAATGTTGCTGCTGATGTTTTGTTAATTCATTCATTTAATATGTACCATTCTGATCAAGGAAATATCAAGATTTTGTAATGAATGAGTTCATAGTTTTCTTCATGAAAATCTTCCCCTTTATTAGCCCAAGAGAGAGCTTCATCCAGACTCTGTGTCCCACACATACAGTGTCCGGGTCTTTTGTGGATGAAGGACACACTGTGGTTTCCTATGTTAACACAGAAGCAAAGCAAGATTTACTTTGGCTTACTTTGTTATTTTTGGTTTATCAACATATCCCAATCTAGTGACATGAATTCTGAGCAAATAATACTACAAAACTATAGTACATATAGCAGACAGGAAATATAAGTAACTTCCTAAGCTTTGAGAACATACAAATCACAGTTATTTTGGGGACCCTATACAGACATTGGCCAAAGTTTTTCCTACCTAGTATCAGAGTTGTCTAATAATCTATTTGAGATCATTACTCCTAAAGTTCTGGGTGATAAGAATCATATTTATGGGCCAGGGATATAGTGGTAGAATACCTGTCTGGCATGCACAAGATCCTGAGTTTGATTCCTGGTACCAAAAATAAATATATATTTGTGATTTTACCTTTACAGATACACATATTTACTAGACACTATTTCCATTCTCTTTCCACTCCAGTAATTCAGGCTTAGAACTGACTTATACATCTAGTTCATGCTGTTTTATATTTGTTAAAATGTAGTTTTAAAAATGCTTTCTGTTTAATATTAAAAAGTATCAATTATAAATATCGAGCAAACTCTGTGAATATTTTTTCTGTGCATGTAGAAAGAGGTGAAGATAAATCTGATTTCCCATGAAGCGCCACTAAGAAAAATGAGTTCTACCACACAGCAAGAATCCTCCTCATTCTCAGATTCTCTCTTTCCCACTGAGGCTCATCCTTCCTCAGCATCAAAGACCTTTGAATTTTATATCCGCCCCTTTTCTTCCCATGAACAACTCCTCTGTGACCCCCTTGGTGCCCAACTAAAGGCACCAAGGTTGATAAAGGATGATACACTACCTGGTCAAGATGTAGCATAAGCACCATGACACGGTCACTCCTCCTCAATAGCTGAAGAACCAAAGAAAAAAATTTGGTTTTGGCAAAGAACCAAAGAAAAGAATAAGGGAAATGGTAGCAAAGAAATAAAAAACATGTGTCATAAACTCCAGTGATGTCAGAGAAGTAGATGTGCTTCTCCACCGTGAATATTTGACACACTCGTGGTCTTCACAAGCAGTACTGAAGAAAGAAAATGAATACAGTATACTCTAAAAATTCTTACAAATGTCCTACAATTAGTGCAGAGATATATTAAAAAAGAAAAGTTGGAAAGCATGGTGAAAATGAAAGGAAACTTGCTAAGAATAAAAGCAAAGCATACCTTCGGTGTAAAGGCATGAAGTTCCCCTGGCTTGACTCCTGCCGCCAGAGAAGAGGAACTCAGGGAGGAAGACAGAAATGCAAAGAACACTGGGGTGGGGTTGTGCGGAATGGAGCTGGTACTGGAATATCGTGGACCTTTATAGGAGGCAGAGCTTGGATTCTTGGTGAGGATACATTGTTCCTTCCCCCTGGAGCTCTTCCTCAGCCCCCACTACCCACTGATTTAGTAGATATTCAAACTGAAACATTATTTGCGCTTCCGTTTCTACCTCTTTTTAAGTAGGGCTACTTCTAAATGTATCCTTTATATTTGAAGGGGAAAAAGTACATTTTCTAATTTGAGAGAAAGATATGTAGATAGATGTATTCATGGACAGATGGTTAGATGGGTATTGGATGCAGAGTTAGATAGACAGATAGATACACACATACATAGACAGATGAGGAGAATCAGTCTTATTCATCTCTGTGGAAAGTTGAAGTTCCGTGTCAGTGAGACTGTGTGACCACCGGTAATGGCTTGAAGGCTGAACATTATCCCCTCTGATATTTTCTTGTTCAGGTGGAAAGCACATAAGCTTTCTCCATGTTGCTCATAGGTAATTGTCATTTGAATGCAAAGGGCACATTCAGGGAAGGGGTGAATAGGATGTGTTCCTAAGGTAGCCTCTGAAGCAACTCTGTGCCTGATCAATATTATAAATCACAAGCAAATCAAGACTGGAAAGTTGCTTACACATGCAGGTCTGATTTATTTCACTTATGAGTATGGTCTCTAGTTATGACCATTTACCTATAAAATCCTCAAGTTTACCTTTCTTTATAGCTGAGTAATATTCCATTAGATAAAAGTACCACAATTTTTTTTATCCAATTCTCAGTGGATGGACATTTGGGTCTCTTCCACAATTTAACAATTACAAATTGTGCTGCTATGAACATGGGTGCACATATATCGCTGTGATGTGATGTTTTCAGATCTTCTGGGAAAATACCCAGAAGGGGAATAGCTGGGTTGAATGGGACCTCTAGTCCTAGTTTGCTGAGGAATCTCCAAACTGATTTCCACAGTGGTTTCACCATTCTGCATTCCCACCAGCAGTGGAGAAGAGTTCCTATTTCTCCACAGTCTCGCCAGAATTTGTTATTGGTTGATAGTGTTTCACTAGTGTGAGAACCTGAAAGAGTGACTAAAAACTAGGAGGTATGATAGACATTGTGAAATGAAAGGAAAATGCTCAAAAGTAAAGGGCAACTGGGGTGTAGGAAAAGAGAAGGGAAAGAAGGGGAAATTATGTATGTACATACAGGATAGCTAACATAGTTGTGCTACTGTCTTCTATTGCTTTACTGAAAGGAACAGTTAATGATTACATGTTTGATCAATATTGCATATCTCTATTTGTTTTCCTGAGAAACCACTTTGAAGATATCAATAGGTAATATAACAACCATTGTTAATTTCCTACCACTCTGTCTGTAACTCTGAATTGTTGTATTGTTCTTATGCTATTTTGTATGTGGTTGTCTGTTTATTAATATGTTCTCCTTCTTTTATTTTTAAAATAAATTAAAAAACTAGAAAGTTGGTTCCTGAGCCATGCCTTTCAGCGGAGAGTTACAACCTATGCCCCAGGCTGAGGCACTGAGCCAATTCAAACAACCGGAGTCCAGTGACAGAGGGAATTCTACTTCTTCATGATAAAGGATCCTTAAAATGCACTGAAAAAATATCCAGGATGTGTTCTCGTGCATTTTCAAAAGATTGATAGCTAATTAGCAGATATTTTCCTCAAAGTGAAACCATGTATATACATTTTCTGACTTTAGTCTTGGAGACCTAAAGAGACGTTGTTGTTCACAGCATGGAGTGGGTCTTTCTGAAAGTCAGACACTCTCTAGAGCTATGACTCATGTCCATCCCAAAGTAGATCTACTGGGTTTCTAATTATTTACCTAAGCCTGAAAATGTAATGGAAATGGACCAATTTGCCAGCAGTAACACCCATTGCTACCTAATCTGTAGAGCAAGATACATTATAAACAAAATCAGGAAATAATGGTATATTAACTTTTCCAAAGCATACCAACTATGGAGATGATCAGAGTACAGAGAAGTCAATGGCTGAATTATATTTTATCTCTTGACAAAGTCAATGCAGTTTTCCAGTGTTATAAAACTCTTGAAATTTTTCCAAAACCAGATTCTAGCATGTGTGGTATTCCAATAGTAAATATGTCAAGTCTGACAGAGATGTGACTAACCCTCATATTCTTGGTTTTGATTTCTTATTTTCTTAAGCTGAAGTTCTAGCAGCGATTGAATTATAGTTGTGCACTAAGGTATTGTTTTCTTATACATTTTTTGATCAGTTTCAAACTGAAAAGGATTACAATAGTATATTAAATATTGAATTTAATGCAGTTTTTATAAATTTTTTTTTCCAAAATAGCTCAAAAAAATCTCCTATTCATATACTTTATAATACTTTTGTAGGCTGCAGTCTGTTATGGATGATATTGGAAAAGGGCTGAATTTTTATTTGCTAACATGGAAAGGAAAACATTTTCTCTTTCATGGTTTTGCACATTTTTACCTTGTTTTGTCTGCACATAACTTGATTTCATCAGGTTTCAATGTTAGTAAATTTTTAAAACTAAATATATAGATCATGCAGGAGAAGTCTAAGTTGATAGATGGATTTTAGTAATCTTGAGATGTCCTGAATGATTCAGATTCATTTAAGAAAATCATTAGATTTATACAGAAATTTTAAAGAACTCATCCATAAAATCTTCAGATTTCCCTATTGGGAATGTCACAGTTTTCCTAGAATCTCCTAGGAAAGCTAATTTTCCATAACATTGCTCGCTGATTGCTGATAACTAGTATTTTTACATATTTTTATTGTTTATAAGCCATAATCACAGTCATCCACACATACAACCAATGTACCAGCCGAACAATCTCATTGATTTCTAAAAAAACCCTAAGGAATGAAGCACGAATTATCCTGTAGTTTCCAAAGTGAAAAGTGGACTTCAAAGAACTGATTGAGATTTAAATCCCCTTCTTTCACACTTGGGCTTTTTAGCCCATAGCATTTATCAGTCATAACTCTCATGCTTAGGTTTTTCATAAGGATTTTGCTCTTGATTCTACTTAATATTTAGGTGTTCATTTCTTATTAAAATATTCAGAAATTTTAAAGTTAATCATTAAATCCATTGTGACTTTTATTGGAATTGTTTTGGACTAGAGGATGTGGGCATAATTGCTACCTTAAGAAATTGAATATATCTACACAAAACCATGGTACACATAAAGATTTATTCAGATTTTGTAATAGTCCTCAATATAATTTGTTAAGTGTTTTGATTAGTTATAGTATTTAGAACTTTTTATGTTTTTGTCTTCTAAATATGCATTTATTTTGTTTACAAGGCTGAGGATCTACCCCAGGGCCTTACTCATGTTAGGCAGTATCCCTAGTCTTCTACTCTGGTTGATATTTGAAAAACTCCAGGTCAAATGGCATGTTTTTATTGTCTTTATGAGTTA